GAGGCCCACGGTCTTCTTTCTATTACGTGGGGCAGCATAAGCAATGCTCACATGCACCCGCTGTCATGAAAGTCTTCTTTCTATTATGTGGGGCAGCATAAGCAATGCTCACATGCACCCGCTGTCATGAAGAGAGGCCCACGGTCTTCTTTCTATTATGTGGGGCAGCATAAGCAATGCTCACATGCACCCGCTATCATGAAGAGAGGCCCACGGTCTTCTTTCTATTATGTGGGGCAGCATAAGCAATGCTCACATGCACCCGCTATCATGAAGAGAGGCCCACATTTTCTAAAGCCCACACTGATGGGAGGAGGACTATGAAAAATCATTTCACTGGAAGTTAAGAGGCCAGACCTTCTAACCCAGGTTTGCCCTTGACCAGCTGCGTGAACGCACACAAGTCCCTCTGCTCTCCCGGTCTTACTGGTGTTTGGTCGAGAAATCATTAACAGTATGCCCAACATTAAGATCCTTTGTCGTTTTATGGTTTAATAAGCTATGAAACACCTTGTTCTTAGTGTCAGAATAAATGAAAATATCTTAATTGCTTTAGTTATTTCAGTAATTTCCTTTGCTCTGTAATTATAAACTATATCACTTTCTATAGCAAATTATAAAATATATCGCTTTCCTAAAGGAAAAACCTAATAAATGAGTCCAACTTATTTTCTGCAGACAAAATGGGTACCATGTAGAGAATAGTACCAAATAGAAAAATAAAAGGTCTTCGTTAGGTTTATTTAAAAATGTACTGTTTTCCGAAAGCTATACGCACCTTGGCTTGTCCACTGTAATCATCATCTAAAATGTTTAGAGAGCTTGAGGTTGTCGTACCACGAAAAAAGCGCGAAGACCTAAGATAGCGCTGGAAACTTAGTAATCTCCTGATATTTCTGGCAGAGACAGAAACTTCAACTTCAGATGGGGCTGGAATAAAATGAGCAAAAGGTGAGGATATATCCAGTCTGTGCGCCTACTAGCTATGAAATACTCCTTCTAGCTAACCGAAGTGTTTGTACGAATTGGCCCTATGCCACAACTCCGGGAGAGAGCAGACCCTTTATTTCGATTTCCAGGTGAAAAGCCAAGAATGAAAAATTAAATGGCCAGTTTTTTTTTCTTTTTAAAAAAAGCACTTTATTTCCATCATCGTTGAGCAGACACACACAGCAGCTGTGATGGTGGCGTTGGTCCCCACCCATAGAGAGGGCCCCACGTGTGTCGGAGCACACTGCACACGCTGGATGTCAGTGGCTGACTTCCTGCAGGCAGATTTCCAGATCTGTCTTTGGAGGAGCCTCTGTTTGGATTCGTACTTTCAACCTTTGGGTGAGCAGTCAAAGGGTTAACTATTTGTACTACCCAGAGTCTTCTTTTAAAATCTAGGAGTCTACAGAAGATGATATCCAGGGGACTGGGAATAGGGAAACTGTCTCTGAGGATCTAGCAGGTATTTCACTTAGACAAACAACACACAAAGCACAATCCAACTCAGAGGGACTTTCATCGAGCCGATTACTCAAAACCTCACCCCGTGGCCCGATTCCGTAAGACATGACCTTATTGCCCGTGTTTCCTCACGAGCTCATTGTGCACTATGAAGTGCACTACTGTTTAATTTACAGCATTCGTCTTCCCTGCAGCCCAGCTCCGGCCAGGCTCACACTGTTTATTTTCTGTCCCGGGCTTGTTCAAGTTCACATGGTTACCTACATTCCAACCCAGCTTAGACAGCCGCACGGCTTCGTGAGTGAATCAGAAGAGTTGTGGGCACGGCTGGGTCTGTGCTCAGGGAGCCGTTTGCTTCAGCAGGTGACCATGAGCAAGCTGATCCGTCTCCACCAGACTTAAAGGAGTGTTGTTACTTAATGAAAGTAAAGATGACTTCTTATAGTATCCTTCTGGCACCACATTCTTGGCTCCTCTGAGATAAAGTTATAAACAAATAAATGCATGTGAGCTGGCAGGGGAAATTTAGAAGCAAGGCTTTCCTCGTGCCTTTTCCTCCTCACATTACCAAGTGGTCAGAAAGAGCAGGCTCTGGGTTAAGAAAACAAAAGGGTTGGAGAGTCTTCAAATCTTGAGCAATATTACTCCCAAATCGTTCTCAAATACTCTTCTCTCTTATCATCCAAATGGCCAAAAAACACTCCACTGGTATTCAGTTAGTAGACAAAAGAGGTCTGTAACAGAAAGTCTTTAGACCTGACCAGCATGTGCTCCAGCGGACCACCAGAGGGAGCCCTGCAGCTACCGTCTCAGCCACGTAAAAACAAAGCCATGCAGCGGCATGTAATTGTGAGTCTCCCATGCAGATTACTGTTGCTTTATTACTTTTAAAATTTAGTGCGATAAGGTCGACCGAACCCTAGTGCCATAGAGGTTATGCATTGGGCTGCTAACCACAAGATCAAAAGTTCGAAACCATCAGCCTCTCCAAAGGAGAAAGATGAGGCTTTCTGTTACCATAAAGATTTACAATCTTGAACGTCCAAATGGGCAGTTCTTCTCTGCCCTCTGGAGTCACTATGAGAAGTGACCTGATGGCAGTGAGTTTTTGTTTTGTTATTTGTAAAAATACAGTTGACCAGTAGTCTACTGAAAGGTCAAGTTGATTAATGGTGACATGAAAAATCGGCAGCTATTCAATCATCTGTTAAGTCCTCCCCAAAGGCTTCCCTGTCTCTCTCCCTTCCGACCCACTCCTGGCTCGCGGAGGCTGCAGACACAATGAAAGCGATTCGATTATTGTAATGCAGAGGGATTTTGTTGGCTGGTGTTTAGAAGTAGACCACCAAGCCTTCCTGGTTCATCCGGGTGTTCTCTGACACCCTTTCATCAGCAGAGCAACGCGCAAGCCCTCACTGACAGGCAGTGTTGGGCTTGTGGGTGCATTGGTTAGGAATTAAACACAGCTCTACCACAGGGAGGGAAGGAATTTTATCACGGAACCACCAATACCTCCTCTTTCTTCTTGTTTCCTTCAAAAAGAACAAGAGACATATCTAAGAGGCTGTTGTTACTACTGAGTAATTATATCTATCCTACATCTGTATCCCAAACCTCACTGGCTTTGAACTGCTGACCTTGGGGTTAGCAGCCCAATGAAATGCCACAGCACCTAGGTTGAGTCACTTTTGTGCCCTTACTCCCTTCTGACTCACAGAGAGCTGATATCCAACTGAGCAAAATCATGTCTGGTCCTGCACCACCCTCCCAGTCCCTGCTTGAGCCGCCTGTTGGAGCCAACGTGTCACTCGATCCCCTGGCAGGTCTTCTGTTTTTAAGTGGGAAGTCCTCTTCCACAGGCAGGCTTTGTTAGACGGCTTTTGACATTTAGAGTCACAGAACTCCTGTGTCTTCTGTCCGTTGATGTTCACATGTATATCCACCATATTCATGTCGATGAAGAGGTGTTTGCAATGAATTAAGTCATCGATCTGGCAAACTATTACGTGAACTCTGACCTCATCTCTCCGACCAAGGCCATAATTTCCAAGTACCAATCGTTTTTCTGTTCCCAGGTTTTACATGCCAACCGTCAGTACCATATATACTCGAGTATAAGCTGAGTTTTCCAGCACATTTTTTTATGCAGTTTTTGTGGTAAAATTAGGTGCCTCAGCAGATATTCAAGTCGGCTTATACTCATCAATGAATTTTGGTTGCATATTTGATTTTAAGCTAAGGAAATTGGTGGCATTCTTTAATTTCTTTATCATTGGCATTAGTTATTAGTCTGTACATTTGAATAAATACTTATACTTAACTGGTCGACCTTGTAGGCACAAGGCTATTGTCTTATGACTGACAGCTTGGTATGTTGAGACAGATCTTAAAATATTCTTTTTGCTCAAAATTCTGCCAAATACTGGATGTTAAATTGTATCAAGTCCTCTTTTTAGCACCTGCTGGGAGATTCAAAACTTTTCTCCTTTATTAATGTGCTAAATTACATAGATAGCTTTTTGAATATTAAACTGATTTAAAATACAAATTGGATCCAAAATGTTATTCATTTGATATACTACTGGACTTATCTTGATAATATATTCTTTAGAAACCTTCGTCTATATTCCTGAGTGATATTGGCTATCATATTCTGTTCTTGTCACATCTTCCTCAGGTTTTCCGACCAAGAGTTTGCTGGCCTCAGATAACAGCAAGTTAGGAACTGGGTCCTTTTGCCTTCTGCACTTTCAAAGAACTTGTGGATAAAATGCCAGGTTGGCGGGTTCTCTGTTTTCTCCAGAAGTCTGGAGCTATCGGTTGAGTCTTCTGGCTTCCTTATGTCTGCTGAAACAGAATTCACTTCTGGCAACCTCAGAGCTGTTCCTTTGAAAGTAATATGCCTTCCCCTACCACTTGCTTTGAGTGATTTTCTCTTTGACTTTGGTTTTTAAGGCTTTCTAAGTGACAGCTTTGTGGAGCTCTCTGGTTACTCTGCTAGCGTCAAAAGACTTTTCGAATCTGTGGCGACGTTTTTAGATGTCTCCGCCGTTTTCTCCTTAAATACCGCCTCTCTTTCCTTCTCGCCGAGCTCTTGAGACTTGAGTGACACCTGCTCCATGCCAGATTCCACGCCGACGAATGGCAATTCTTTGACCCTGTCTTGCCTTGACAGAGCTGCATGGGTGGCACAGATGGTGAAGCGCTACTAGCTGAAAGGTTGATGGTTTGATCCCACCCAGAGGTGCCTTCGAAGGTCGGCCTGGAGATCTGTTTGTGAAAGGTCACCCACTGCTTTGGAGACCCTGGGAGATCTGCTCTGCACACCTGGTTCGTCCCAGCTGGAGTCCCACTGGCAGGTAGTGCCAACAACGCTCCCCTGGCAGGTGGTGGTGGTGGTGGGGCATTTTCTCTCCCTGAATCTGAGCCAACTGTATGGCATCACAGTCAAAAGGGCACAGAGATGGTGCATGTTTCAGGGTGAGACCTCCTAAGACTAGACGCTATTACACTTCCTGCCTCTGGAACTCTCTCTAGACTGCTTGCTCTGGGGGCAGGGAGTTACCATCTCAAAAGCCCAGCTGCCTTGAGATAAGTCCAGCACCCAACCCTGGTGTTAGACAGGTGAGCACAGGGCCATCCTGGATGGAGACGATGCATGAAAAAGAACAAAGTCTCCGAGATACGGCCCAGGGAAGCCATCAGAAACATCTCAAGACACCGAGGAGCAGAGACAGGTCCACACTTTTATGCCTTAATAGAATTCCTGACTCTCAGGATCACAAGCCTCACAAACAGGTGTTTTCTGCTAATACCTCTGGGATCATTTGCTGTTATTAGGAAGAATGTTACAGAAGCCTCATATGTCTTATGCACTCTTGCTGGGTGTGCCTAGAATGCAAAGTCCTGACCACTCTTTACCTGGGGACTGGTCTCAGTTGTGTTTGCAGCCAGTCACCAAGAGTAGGCTTACTTTAAAAGGGGTAAAATCCCAAGTTCATTGTTCCGCAGTTGCAATAGAAACTCATGTGTGCACAGTATCTGTCAGGACCCCAGTGTGTGGCTGCGGCAGGGCCTGGAGAGGGAGGAGAACTGCTGCGATCTGCTGCTCAGACTGCTCGCACGGCCAGAATGCCCTTGTCTCTCACCCCAAAGTCTCGTGTTTCCTGATGCTGTAATAGGCTGTCCGGAATAAAATCCCAGGTCCTACGCGATTCTGAAACGCTACAAGGCAATTGATAGCCAGAACACATTCTATATGCATTTTTCTCTCGATATGCATTTTAACATCTTCTATCCTTTTGTCTTTTTGTGTTTCATTCAAAATATTTTGCTGTTACCATATTCCACTTCACCAATTGTCTCATTTCTTTCCAATTTTCCATTTAAAGAGAAACTCAATAGGAAAAGTGTTAAGTATGATATTTCTTACTGTTAGCATTTCCAATTGATTCTCTATTTTTTTAAGTTTCCAGTCTTCTGTTGAAATTCTCAATTCTTTTTCTTAGCTCATTAATATACCGATTTAGTTATTTTAAAGCCCCTGTAAAATAATTGCATTATCAAACTCCTCCATGAATCTGTTTTTATTATCTGTTGTTGCTCTTCATTTTTCAGTCATGTTATTGTGACTTCTTGTGCCTTTTTGATTTTTAAATAAGTGTTTGACAGTACACATTGAAAGAAAACAACAAAACAAAACCTAAAATTGAGACGTAGGATAATGTCACCCCCCACTCAAAAAAGAAATTTGTACTTACTTTTATAGCACGTGACTAGAGGCACTCAAATCAGTCCCTTAATCCAGCAATCCTAAACCTGTGAGTCGAGACCCCTGTGGGGGTCAAACGACTCTTTCACAGGGGTCACCTGATTCATAACAGTAGCAAAATTACAGTGATGAAGTAGCAACGAAAATAATTTTATGGTTGGGGGTCACCACAACATGAGAAACTGTATTAAAGGGTTGCGGCATTAGGAAGGTTGAGAACCACTACCTTAATCTAATCAGTATGGGAGTTATTATGAAAATGGGATTTATTTCTAAAGCATGCAACCTCAGGGCTAAAAGCTAAGCATGGAAGGTTAACTAATATCAAGCCCTCCAGCCTATGGGGGTTATGAATGCCTGGTTTCCTTTTGCTAGCTTTGAGAGTCTGTCATAAGCTCTGCTCACATTTTCATCTACTTTTCCCTAAATCAGTAGATGCTCCTGGGGAAAGTGGCCTAAAATACAGCATTCTGAGACATCCAAATCTGTCTTTATACTTAGCCCAGTTTTTGGAATTCTTTTCAGTTTGAGTGTTAATCAAATTTCTCTATCTAGTGGTACCACACATTCATCTTCCGAAGAAAAAGACTCATGCATTCAATATTTAAGAACTCCAAAAGTTCTGTTTGTTACGTTTTGGTCCACTATGAGCCAGATTCAAATAGAATGTTCTTTGTTTTACGCATTCCACCAGTCATCTTCAGACAACGGGCTTCCAAAGCTTTGTGAAGACGTGAAAAGATAATATTTTCCCATGAACTTTCTGAAGCACCCTCCTATTTTTAAGTATAAAACCCAAACCAAACCCCCTCAAATTTATTAGCTTAAGAAGAACTTTTATGAAATATCATTTGCAAACATTTTTGTCTGTAGTAGTGTACGTCATTTGAAATAAGATCATTTTGTTTTGGTTTATATCTTTCTCAGGGAGAAAAAATATGTACTAAAGTAATTTCACATTGAAAAATTCAGAGAATGAAACAAGTCCATGTTCATGGTTTACTGTCATCTTCTTTTCAAGGTATCTGAACATTTATAAACATGATCTAGATATAAAATATAGTACTATCACAATCTGGTTGTTTTTTGACAACATCCCAAACATACTCATTTTTTCCCCTTGGAAAGCTATACAATTTTACAAAGATCTGAAGGTTAGGTTAGGATAAGACTGAGAGAAACATTGTGCTTGCAACACTTACAGTGAAAAATACGGAAATCAATATATGGATGAGAACCTCTTCTTTCGGTTTCAAATCCTGCTCTACTCCTTACACGTACATCTCCTGGACAGAATCGAGAACAAAACGTAAGTTTAGACGAGACAGACGGCCGCCACTTGAGAAGAACCTTCCGTGTGCTACAGACACCTGTGTGACATCAGACTCAGACATGCAGTTAAGAGCCGACTTGCTCATTGTTATTACGGATCAGCTACATTAGCTTAAACATTAGAGGGATTTACAAAAGTTCAGCACTGAGTGGTGAGGCTTGACAAGGAGGATTAAAAAAAACAAACAACTTCCCCAATAATCATGAGCATTATGATGCATTTTTTGAAAGTCAGCCTTCTGAGAGATGAGTATCAGATCCTAAACAGCTTCCATGGACTTCATTCCACTCCCAGCTGCCCCCCAGGACGGAGCAGACCTGCTCCCGAGGCTCCCCAGACTGGGAATCTCTCCATGAAGAGAAGGAGGGCTGTCTTCTGTGGAGCACGGAGGGGTTTGAACCGCTGACCTTGTGATGAGGGGGCCAGTACTTAATCCCCTACACCACCAGGACTCCAAAGATGGGTATAACACCTCATTACTCACGTGGAGTTAAACAAAAAAAAAAGCCACCAGGAAATAGTCTATTTTACAGAAGACATAAAACCCTGGGTGCAAACCCCCCACCCCGGTTCCCACAGGGAGTTTACTGAGGGGGCCAAAGCCAGCGAGGGGCAAGGGGTCCTACCTCAACCTTCCTCCTTGAAGCTGCTGCCTCCTGCAGGGCGGGGCCCTGGGTGAGGAGGGCTGCCCCGGGGCGGGCCTCAGGAGCTTTTGGAAGCTCCTGCCTTTCATGGCCCTGACTGTCCCACTAGTGCAAACATTTTTAAAGCCATCACAAGAGGCCAATCTTTATTGTCTACTCTGTGCATCACACTGGACACCAGGGCTTCTATGGGATAGGAGGAAATAGAAATACCTAGTTTCGTGTAGCTTATGATTTCAGAAAGCACAGTGAAATGCTAACCATTTTGCCCTAAGTGTTAAATTGGATCACATATTTTATTATTGTGCCTTTAGTTGGGTCCTAGAATGTGTTCTAACTCGCACCTGCTTTGAGGTCTGCCTCGCTCTTCAGCAGCAGAACCACAGCACCGTGTACCAGCCTCTCTGTCATGTGCTTCGTGTTCACGGGAATGATCATATTTGTTTCTCCAGCCAACATAGGGATCTTAATTGCCATTTTACAGACGTAAAACACGAAGGCTCTGGGGCGTCGCAAAGCTGGAGTAAGGAATGGGCCAGGACTCATGAGCGTCAAGCTTGACACTGTGTCCG